TTCTACCCATTTCTAATTTTATACTGATTGTACTACTTATTTTTTAGATCTGTTTGACATCATTACTCAAGAGAGTTATATAAGTAGCAACATTTGTACCAATACTATTAATTTTCTACTTCAAATTGTACATTTATAAATTTTCTACATATACTTTCCACAGATTGTACATATAGACTCTGTAATACAAAATTATTAATTTTTTCCAACATATTTTTTTAAAAATTTTCTTTCTGATTCTTTTATAAATTATATTACATAAAACTTTTAGAATGTGCAGTTTTTTTCTAGAGCAATTTGAACTTCGTATTACAAATTTATTAATTTTTTCCAAAGCATTTTTCACATAACTTCTAACAAATATAACAATCTATTTACCTATCAATTTTTTGATGACATTTTAACCATTGACTTTGGTTGTTTTTTGTGAGTGAGAATTTTATTATTATATTCAACTTATAAGAAAAATAACAATATAATTACCTATGAATTTTTTCACAACATTTTAACCATTTAATTTGGTTGTTTTTTAGCAAAAGAATTTTATTATTATATTTTCCGAAATGGGTTAAAAAAAGGTTTCGAGATATATCTCAGACATAAATTAAAATATACTTTTTAGTATTTTCAATTATTATATTAAAAGTTGTGTTTCTGAGTGTTCGTGGCTCATACTTACATTAGGTATCTGTCCACAAATGATGTTTGTGTTTACATATTATCATAAAATACTCTCTACATATTCAATCACCTTTACCCATTTTAACCTTCCAACTAATAAATGATGTTTATGTCGACATACCTTTTCATATCATTCAATACAAACCACACCATACCAAAATCTTCATAATAACAATTATATTTCTTTTATTATCACTACTACATTTAGACGCTTTTTGCAACGCCCGAAAGTGTTACAACTAGTTAAAAAAACCGTTACAATATGTCAAATGTAACAGTTTTGTGGTGTTACATTCGCTAGCGTTGCCTTAGATCATTTGTAACGGTTGGTAACACTTTGAAGATCAAATGTAACATTCTTTGAAATTGTTACATATATTGGACAACCGTTACAAGAGTCAAATGTAACATTTTCAGATAGTAAAAAGTAACACTTCTGAAAAATATGAAATTAGTAATTATTGAATTCATTTTATATTAATATGTAAGTATGTAAAACACATATGGGGGACACACATGCATGTATTGTTACATATATCAAATAACACACTTTTAAAATATTCCTAATGATGGAAGAGAATAAAATTAACTACAAAATTTCAATAAAAATATATACGTATTTCACTTAAATCGAAGATATATCGTACATTGATAATATCAATCCATGAGTCACTGACATATACTATCTAACTAGCTCATCAACTCAAAGTACAACAAGATATAATAACTAAAAGAAAATTCCAGTTCAAAAATGCTCCTCGCTTGATGAAGCATTCCTTGAAGAAGCCTAATTCATCACCCGATTCCACCCTTTTCTCTTCATATCTATCTCTGATTTTGGATATGTATCAAACAAGACAAATCATTAGCATTCAATTTCCACAAAACCAAATTGTTCATTAAATTAAAGATACTAAGTTGAAGACTATAATAAATGGAATAATCTTTGTCTACTAAATGTTATGGAGTACACAAATAAGTATTATAACAAAGAGAGCTTTGATGTTTGGAAAATATCAAGCAAGTGATAGATAGGCATATAATTAAAAGTCAAGACAATGTGTATAGTATGCAAAAGTAAAAGGTGCTTTTCTATCCTATGAAAATATGACATATAGGATGACGAACCTTAGGATGATATATACGTACAAGAGGCCACACATATGTAAACCTGGCAAATAAACAATTATAATGTAAATGAAACGCAAATCATCGTGTATCTGTGCATGCATGCATACCTATATAAATGTGCGTGTAAAGAAAACAATTCTTTTATTAATGACACTAAGTAAAGTAAATATGGTGATGCTAGAGGAGAGAAAATGAAATAAAAATCTTGGAAGCTACAAGGAATGAAAAAAAAGATTGGCAAAGAAAAAACCCAAGATGTAAGACTATCTTGAACAGATTGGCAAAGAAAAAACCCAATACGTAAGACTATCTTGTGAGTCTTTTGATTCACACTTAAGTCATATAGCTTAACGCACCCCTCCGCATAGAGCAGCCCCAAACTTGATGCTACAACCATGGACTGTTGATGCAAATGGCCTAAGGTCACTGGACTGGAAATCTGGAACAGATTTCAGTTTACTTCTAATGTGCCAGCAATTTATCCCTTCAACAATTCCTGGAAGAGAGGCGCATCCGTGATTGAGTAATTAAAAGCAAACAGTTCACTTAACAATTTATAGCAGACATCTAGATATACACTTCGTACATTGATTTTACAATAAATAATAAAGCAACTTAGATTTTATGCACGACTCTTCAAAGATTTTATGCAACTTAGATTAGCAACAATTCCTGTGGCACCAATTCTTATTGGAGATATTTGCCAACAAATCATTTCAGTTCTTTTATTCTGACAAAGCATCCCTAGCCGCAATTCACCTCAATCACGTCTTTAATCAAATTAGAGATTTTTGTCAACAAATCATTTTAGTGTAACAACTAGGGGGGCTTTTTGGATAGCTATACTTCCCCTCACTTTTGATAAATGTCTATAACTTAAGGGATATTAGTGACACATAAAAAAATGAGAAATATTATGGAACTACACAACACCGTTGACATTCCTGCCCATATTGGCATTTTAAGGAATTGTAAGTTGTAAAAAGTAGGGATATAATATGAAATGATGATAATTTCTATCTTCTTTATTATATATCAAAATAATATGAACTATAAACAGAAGTACATAATCTAAATAGTTTAAGATGCATCAATCAAAGAATTAGATAGTTTACCGCCAAACGAAATATCGGAATCATCAACCAAAGGAGTAAGATTTGCATACCTCTGAAGTTAAACCTGAAGTTAAACAGAAAAGATTATGTTATACTCCGCATACAAATTTGATTCAAATAAAAAATTGTCAAGCACACAAAACACAAAAACATAATACTTCGTATCATTTAAATTTGCAACTAATCTTTTGGGTATGTAACGCTTATCTTTTATTTAAACATCCAACTATCCAAGCCTGACAATTTTCAATTTTTCATACAGAAATGTTGCAAGAAACGCAGTAACATCTTCTGCCAAATCATGAAAAGAGAAAAATGAAAAAATACCCGATTCACTAGTTTAGACATTTCTTCGAACACCTCTTCTGCAGAACTAATATATGATTATTCTTACCCTTCTTGAAACTGACTTACCCATGAGAGATGTAGATAACAACCTCCTAAAATGCAGAGAGCAAAAACAAGACAATAAACAAAGGATAATTTTTTCTTATATAACCTTTGAATTTCTAAAATTAACTTTCGTAAACCAAACAAAAAATGAATAATAATAAAAAAAACAGCAAGAGACGCCACAGAATTTATAAAAATTGAAATAACTATGGCCCATGGAGTTTTCGAACAATAAATATTAAGGACGTGATGTGCTTTTGAAAGCCCTGCAATAAGTTTGTTCTAAAACAATGTCAACTGAATCACCAAGTCTGCAAGCCGTGTAGCAGGTATAGGCGAATGTCAATAAAATAGCACTGAACCAAAAGTAAAAAGAAAATAGGATTGAAGATCTAAAATGAAAAATAGCATACCTCTGAAGAGGAGTGAACACTGAATAGCGAATCGAAGATTGAAGAATGAAGGTGGTGGCCGGCATAATGGTGTCGCAGCGTCGCATGGCGGCAGAGTTCATAGGATTAAGCAGGCAACCATCGTGACTTGCTGTCGGCTGAGTCCTGCTGATTTGTGACCTGTTGAAGCTTGCTTAAGGAAAAGATCTAAAGGCTAGGGATTTCCTACTTGGAAGAAGAGCTTCACATACGTTTTGCTGTGTCGTTTATAGATTTTGGGCCTCAAATCGCTAATCTGATACCAGATGAAAACTAACAATTTGCCATGGCATTATAATGTTGGATATCCTTAGGGTTTCTTAGTTAGTTGTCAGGCAACTTGGACTTCTTAATTTTATGGCGCAAATTTATTTCTGTGCGCTCTTTTGTATTTAGTGTTACGTTAGCTTCAAACAAATGTAAGGCTTTCCAAAGGAATGTAACACTCTATTTAAAACAATAAAAGTGTTACAAATGACAATACCTAATGTAACAAATACCGAACTAATGTAACGACATACTAAAAACCATTACATTAGATTAGTTTTTTTTGTAACACTTTGAACAATTGTTACAATTTTAATGTTACATTAGACCTTAAAATGTAGTAGTGTATTGCAGTTGAGAATTCTGGTTAAAGAGTATTATATTTGTCATTTAGAAAAGTGTAATAGAAATAGTTCTGGGACCTTAGAAGGTTGCCATTTGTGTAACATTACAAAAGGTTTGTAATATTATTTAGTTAAAAGTAGGGCTAGCAGGTCTCCTCCACAAAACCGAAATCTCAGGTATTTGCCACTTTACCTTTATACTTTATTGCGCTATTTAAAACTATCTTTGTTTGCTTCGGATTCACGCATATTAGAAAACTTATCCCATATTCCTTTAATATACAAAATAACTTGCTTATAAAATAAAATGCAATTGTATTACTTTTTACATCCATAGAATCAACATTCAAAATTTAATGAGCACGCCTCTCATCTAGAAATTACATTGCTACATGCTTCACTTGTCATTCTAATACTAAGCTATACGTCTCAGTTAGAAGCCAATTCCCATCGTGTAGGAGTCTGCTTTAGTCCAACCTTTTCAACCTGCAAAACAGTTATAAGTGTTTTAGCTGCTTGATCCAAATGATGTAAGAAATCTTACATGATTCATCACTTGATTTCCCATCCCTGCAGCTATTTCTGTTCTAAGGAAACCTGCAAACCTGCCAAAAGTATACATATCTGTAGAATCCATAGAGAAGTAACTTCTGATAACTTCCATTTAATTGTTAGTCATAGAGTAGCAAAATGTAGGGTTTAGAAGTCTATCACCCAAGGCAAAATACATAGTTTTTTAGACATGGCATCCATACTGCCAAACCAAGGCATACACACTGCCATAATTGGTAATGTTATTTATCAAAGGTCAACACAAATAGCAGTAACATAATATTCAGCTTGCAACGCCACTTAAAGTGGTTCTTGCTTGATTTTGATTTTCAGCTTCTTCCCATTGCCATTGCTTGAAAACTCATCATTGAGATTTCTTTTGATCTCATCATTCAGTTCAAGAACCACCTCTCTTTGAGTAGATGCAATAGGTGAATCCGGGAGCTCGATAGGTTCGGTGACCTAGATGTATAAGAAATAAGGCTTTTCAGAATCTCCAATTTTGTATTCAATATTCAATATGTTATAAACATGATAGGTACATTCGCTTTGTACCTCCTTCTCAGCAGAAATGCGTTTCCCCTTTCCCTTTGTAACAGTTGACTTCTCTCTTATAGAGTTGTCGTTCTCTCCCATTGCATTCGAACAAATCTGAAATAGAATGATTCACCTTAGCCGTACATTTAGGTAATAGCTTTAGTTGCACTTTCATTTATTTGTTTAAACAAATCTGAAATTGAAAAAAATTGTGATATTTTCCAATACCTTTTCTGGAGTGCATTCGCCACTTTCATTTGTTCCCATTTGCATCTGCTTTCCTTCATACATTGCCAAAACAGTGGGATCTCGAATCATACTAACTACTCCTAGGGAAATCCCACCTTTGTAAGCATTTTCTTCATTTTTCTTCCTTAGCTGTATTTTAAATATTCCCTTCTTGTCAACCAAATTTTCGATGTCTTCGGGAAAGCTAGTTGGATCCCCTGTTTTCTGTTTGCAGGCAAGTTACATGATCAAATAACATCATTTAGGTATGTTTTAGAACTGATAATCAACAATCCACTGTCCCTCACGAAATACAGATGCTACCTTCTCCATTTCGGTCATAAGGCTTGCAGATGTTTTCCCAAAAATCTCTATGCACTCCCTGTCCCAGAGAACAAAATTTCCATGCCCGGTTGTGTCCATGATACACACGCTCACCTTGTAGCTTAACATTTTAAAAATTACAGTGAGTTTTTTGGAGACCGATACCCTAACCCTATTCAAAACAACATATTCACCAAGAGGGATAGTATTGTACCGATAAACTCCATCTGGTAGTGTTACACTGCAAGTTAAACACCTGAACCTCTCATCCTCTGCCACCAACTTTTTGTGACATGTCGGGCAGGCGAGGTAGCACCATTCCCGAAAGTTTTCGATCGAAACAATCTCTGCTAGGACCCAGTAAATATCCTCCTGACCATTTAAAAAGTTCATTTAGATACTCTTTACAATAACAATTGATCCAAAGCTTCACCATTTACCTCAGTTGCTTTTAGCAAATCTTTCATAGTGGTGAGGATTACATTGCCACTTAGCACGTCGTCCCTAGCATCTCCTTGTGAGCAATGGGTGACACATGTATAAGTTGTGGCATCATCGCCGTCAGCTGGAAATCTGTTCATTGTTTGATTACTTTTGAATGTAAGTAATTTTTTTAGAACCTACGTATTATTATTAAAGTGAACCATAAACTGCATAGTACTCGCTCTGAAATTCCAAGAATTCAGCTGTGTTTCCGTTTAGGATGAGCTTGGACACATCGTAGGAAGAAGCCACAGTCAAATTGCCTGCGTTGTAAACATCATTAAGTTAGGTTACTCCAACTGTTCGTCTTTTAGCAAAAAGATTAGGTTAAACTGTCCGAAACCTTGGAATCTTTTGGGTCGGCATAGTTGGAAAATCAAAAAAATGGGCACTCCTTCATTTTCCTTTACGAAATCCAGATACTGGTCTATATACTTGTTCCATAGTACACAACCCATTCGGTTACCCCTGTCATTTAGAGTTACTATCCATTAGTTTAGGATTTAAATCTTTACGCTAATTGATATTAGATTAATAAAAACTTACTCTGGGTCTCCAACGGTGACTTCCATAACCCTTTCAGTTTTCCCGTGGATGATATGGGTTTGTACCAAGCTCTTGGTGATAACCTTCCCAATGATATCTAGCAAGAAGAGTCGTAGAAATATTTCGTTGTTTAGCAGAAAATCATAGAAATACCCCGCTGTTTTGCAGTTAAGTATTTTGTTTAGCTATGATTACAACCTCATGTTACTCACCTATGAGATATTTGTCATTGATAACCCTTTGGGCGTGCAGCATATCAAATGGCTGGAAATCATAGATCATCATAGGTAGTTCTGTTCTATTTTCTTCCCTGAACTGGGTTTTAGAAATGAACTGAATCAGGTAGGGGTGATTTGTGGTCTTCACCGTTTGGTAGTTGTCTAGAACTAAGAAGTTCCTTATGGCATAGATGTTGTGCTCAGTAATAATAGGCTTGTACAAAGCAATCTGGGGGCGCTTGATAATTGCGTGAATCCGATCGCCCTAATTTACATATTAAAAGTGTTAATTGAGTACTTTATCATTTACCATCTTAAATAATGTGTAATGCAAATTGTAAGTATTGTACCTCTGCGTCATGCAATACCATCTCAAGAGTCTCCCCACCCTTTGAATGGGGAGGCACCTCATAAGCCCTGACTATCCGAACCTTCAATGCCCAAGTAGTTTTAGTGTGATCAATGTCCTTGATCATTGACCACATCCCTGTTGATGATGAACCGGCCATTGCTTGCTGTTTTTATGAAATCTGGATTTGCTAGTTTGTGCTGTGTGGAAACAACCCCAACTTCGGTTTTTATAGTGGCAGATGGGTATGTAATTTGGCTCAATTGGGTATTAACCAATATATAAACATCCTCAATCCTCACACTAAAGATTTTGTAGTACAAAAAATTTATAGTGATATGGCATGGTTGGTACAACACATTAAATGCATGTGTGGCTCAAGACATGATTTCGGATTTTTTTTACTAACTCAGATCTGAAGTACAATTCTCAGTACAACATTTTAAATGTTTTTGGGGCTCTAGGTTGAAAGTACAATGAATATAATATTTTAATCAATAAAGTTGCCCCTTATCCCAGTACGTTCTTGAGCCACACAACTAAGACATCGGATACAGAGCCAGGATTAAAGATTGGTAATGGGCTGCCTACAAACCCATTTTTGCACCCATGTAAATATGACCCGGCCCATTACTGTACAGTGTTTGGGCGGGAACACTGTACAGATTTCCTTTTGCTTTTGTATAATAAAAGATATTGATTATTAATATTTTTAGTAAAAAAATATGCTAAAAATATAATCATTTTCTTTTTAGCATGACATTATTAAAGTTAGAGAAACAAACAAAAACACCTTTTAGATAAATTTCTATATATTTTCAATCCCATTTTAATATCATACATGTATATTGAGCAAATTATAGCTTAGTTCTTTTTGTTGGCAATAGGCTTCCGATCTGTTGTCAATTTTGTCCATGAAGGTTCAACACTGACAAGATCTACTCTTATTTATTGTATCCCCCCATTGAATTGATGTGAAAATAATCATGCTATCATATGACGACTTGATATTTTTGAGAAAATGTTTGCCTATTTGTTCTATGCCATGTATCACCCTATGCAATTGCAATGACAATTCTTTGATGAACACTACTCAAATTTCAGTATGTGTGCAATAAAGAGAATAGTTAGGGTTCATCTTGACAGACGTGGATTGAACCCTTTTATTCACAAAATATTGGATCTTCGTGCTCCCATATTTTGAATAATTTACAAAACAAAAAGAATTGTGTCGATTAAAAAGCTAAGTGACATTAGCGCTTTCTTTAATCATGTGTGTATTTAAAAGTAAAGTAAATTGTAATCATTTTTCTTTACATGCATCGAACTCAACCTTTTGATGAAGCACATGCGGTGTTAGAAAGTTCTTCATAACATGTGTGTATTTAAAAGTAAAGTAAATTGTAATCATTTTTCTAGGGTTGTATACGAACCGAATCGAGACGAATAGCAGGATTTTGTATTTGTATTTGATTAATTTTTTCGAATACGAAATCAAATTCAAATATGAAACGAATATTAATTTCGATTTGTATTTGTATTTGTTTAACAATACGAATAGTTAACGAATCTTATACGAATATCGAATAGATTTGAGCATAGGCTAAATATTAGTCAAATATCACTTTAAAATAAATTTTCTTATATTTTTTTATGTTGTAAATGTACGCTATGTCTTAATATGTGTTTTTAGAATTTAAATTGTGCATGATATACTAAAGTGAATCAATTTTATGATTAACAAATATAAATCTATTTCAAACTTTTAGAAATAAACACAACACACATATTTGAAATTATACTTACAATGTGTGAAATAAGTTGATAATTGTATATATCAAAGTCAGACGTCTCTAATTTTATTCTTCAAATTGAATACATAATTATTTGTATTGTATTTGAAAGACATTTGAACCAAAAATCTGATTTGTATTCGTATTTATACTTTGATTTATTACAAATGGACTTAGGATTTGTATGCATAAATGTATATATGAACTACACTTTAGGGTATTGCTATCTTTTAAAAGTTATTATAGTGTTATTACTATTATTATTAATATTATTATTAATATTAATATTATCACTATTATTAATCGAATATATTTGATTAATATTCGAATCGAATACACTGATATTCTTATTTGTATTTGATAACAACTCGAATCAAATTTAATATTCATATTTGTATTTGTATTTGAATTTTCCGAATTCGAATCATCTGATACGAATTCGAATCGCGAATCGAGCACAAATTATTTGATCCGTTTACAACCCTACATTTTTCTTTACATGCATCGAACTCAACCTTTTGATGAAACACGTGCGGTGTTAGAAAGTTCTTCATAGCTTACACAATAAGCAACAATATCATACTCATCTACGTTAGATTCACCTTCTTTTGATGAAGATGGTACATCTTCAAGGTCTTAGCTGCGCTTGCTAAAAATTCCTTGTAGGAATTGATCTCGTCTAGTATAGCGATTATTGGAAGTACTCGCACCGATAGTTGTCTGGAAGCTATCAACTAACAATAAAGTTTTGTGGCACATTATTAATATCTCATTGATTTTCCGTGCTTTCACGATTGCTATTTTATACATTACTCGTATTTGCAAAGATGAAGAGAATTTACCCTAAATGGGACTAAATAGACTTCCTAATTCCAAAATAGGAGTTTTTGACTTTATTTCCCAAAATGGGACTTCGGTGGTCCTATTTAGTAAGTTTAGACTTTTTCATTCCTAAAATAACCCTCCTCTTCCCAGCGTATCTATTCTGTTTACCGAACTTAACGTAATCCCAAGCATAGTCATCGTCTTCTACTATGATGAATCTTCGAAGATCATGGCCTGGCCTAAACGCTTAGACGGAGCTGCAGAATATACCAAATCGATGCTGACAATGATTTCGAACCTCAGAGTTTCAATTTCGCCCATCCTTAGCTTGAAAATCGTTTGAATCGCACTTGTTCGCGATTATCTGTTCGGATTTAGCTTTTTACCAGGTATTCTCTTCTATTTTTGACTTTCGCTTATTTTTGCATATTCAGTTTCCTTGATTAACAGTTTGTTTATATAATTTCCAATTGTTCTGCCATGTATCCATGTTCTAAGATTCATCACTTCCTTTTACAGTTTTGGCATATTGATTTTTCATGGCAACTGCTGCAATGGATCGTGTTTTGCTCATAATGGTCAAGTTGGATGGTGTATGGGGGCCTGATTTTGTCTTCATGAACAAGTCTACATTAGGTATCCATGTCCCATATTGTTCCACATACTCATCACTGTTAGACATCCTTAATGACAGTGTCACTCAAATCCAATTGAATCCACGTTTTACCATATCATACCTTGTTGAATCCTGCCCCCCACCTGTTCTTGTCAATGACAATGCTAGTTTGCGCTTTTATATTGATCTTAAAATCCTTCAATCAGATTTTGCAAAATATCCTTTGTGTCTACAATTTGACAAAGAGAAACCGCCTGTTTATGCACCTGTTTTACCAGTTTGTACTCCAAATAATTTGGTCACACCTGCATCTTGTTCTAGTGTTGATACGTTCAATGCAAATACTGGTTTCAACGTTGTCCATTCTCTAGATCAATACTTGCATCCTGAAGTCCATTCTTGTGTTCCTGAAAATAGTTTTGATAATGTTCTTTCATCCACACCTTCTTTCATCCACAATAATAGTTTTGATAATCATTCTAGTGTCCTGTTCAATGAAAATAACTTTGAAGAACACAGTTCATGTAGTGATGTACGTGCTGAATGTTTTGATGAGGACTCCCTTTCTTCTAGTGATGAATCTTTAGAAAATGAGTCCTCAGATGCCTTTGTCTTAAACCAGAACTGTGATGTCATTACACATTATTCTCCAATCACGCTTGTGCTCCATGGTATCTACGCGAACAAGCAAGATCTACTTTATCACCTTAGACTGTACGCGATCAATAATAACTTCCAATATTGGACAAAGACTTCAAAGAAGCATTCATTGCATGTAAAATGTTTGGACAAAGAGAATTGTAAATGGGCTGTTCGTGCTGTTAGACTCAAAGGTGTTCAACTTTTTCAGATTAGAAGGTATATTTCTTTCCCCATTCATGTTTTTTTAGTTGTTTTTTATGTATTTTAATATTCCTGTATTGTATGTTTTCTAGTTCAAAGTTGCATTGCTTTAGTGTACTGCCAGTTCACATATTGTATTTACATTCATGTATACTGTCTTTTACTTTGTACTTCCAACTGTTTTTGTATTACTTCCATCCTGTATGTGTACAGTCATCAATTGTTGCCATGCATGTACCTTGTTCTGTAATTTGTATATCCACCACTTTGTATTTATTCTTTTTTTTTTCATACAGATTTGATGTTGATCACACTTGCTCAATAGACTTTAGGCAAGGTGTTCGTCATAGGCAGGCCAATTCTGCACTGATTGCTGAGCTTATAGCTCATCAATATATGGATGCTTCCAAAAAACCCTATACACCTAAACAAATCAGGGATGATTTGTTGTTGCAATATGGTATACCGGTGTCATACAAGAAGTCATGGGCTGCAAAGAAGTCTGCCATGAGAAAACAGTTTGGTTCAGATTCAGAGCAATACCAATTGTTGCCATCGATGGTCTATATGCTTCGCCAAGCTAATCCAGGATCTGACGTCTTCCTCATTACAGGAGATAATGATGTGTTTTGCTATTTTTTCATGTCACTTGCACCATGGAAGAATGCATGGGAACATTGCATTCCCGTTCTTATTATCGACGGTTCTTTTATGAAATCCTACTACAAAGGGACGTTACTTACAGCCTGCAGTCAAGATGCAAACAAACAGATTGTGCCTTTAGCTTTTGCTGTATGTGATTCTGAGAGCACTGACTCCTGGAAGTGGTTCTTTATGAAGCTCAAAGAATGCCTTAGACATCGTGATGACATGTACATTGTGTCAGATAGACATAAAGGTATTATCAAAGCTGCAAAGGCCATCTTTCCACACGCTGCCCATGGATATTGTTGTGAACATCTCCGGCGTAACATGAGATCAAAATTTCGAGGTAAGTCATCCGACCATGGCTGGAAATTTAAAGCTGCATGGAAGGCTGCAACTGTTAATGAATGCTATGAGTATTTGTCCATGTTGGATGAAGAAGATGTTAGGATTCGTCCCTGGTTAGAGAAGATTGGAAAGGAAAAGTGGGCTCGAAGCATGGCAGTTCAGAGTCGATGGAGTGTTATGAC